CCCCCCCCCCAGCCTCCTGCTGCAGTGTAAGCAACAGAGTTTTTGGTCTTTGGTAATTTAGAAGAAAGGAAGAAAGTGTCTCAGTTGTCTGAAGTGTCATATGTTCAGATCTCTTCATTAAAGTTTGGAGAAAGCTGAACGTCTTGAGCCTGGCTGAGTACTAACTCCTGTGTTGTCTGATGCCAAACTTGAATAAACACTGTCCTGTCTCTTAAGTGATTTTTTCCACAGCCCCTCTTGCTTTGTTCCTCAGTTATTTTAAACACACGCTGTAAAGCTGCTTTTAGCCTGGAAAGCTTTGAGCATTCTTCGTGTGTGCACGAAGTTCTGCAAAAATGAGCAACTGAGTCGTGATGCTCTCTGTACTGAACAAACCCCAGCCATGAAATGGCTGGTCCTCCAGCAGTGTGAGACCATTCCTTATCTGTAGCACAACTTTGTTTTCTTTCTTCTGAAATGTTTTTGTTTTGGCCCAAACTGTGCAACTGAGTCGGTTATTAAATGCTTATTTGTAATAAAATGAGTAACTAGCCAAGAGCTTGCTATATTACTTCCATAGCTCAGAGGGAGGAAAAGGACTAAAGTATAATACTGTCTAATTTTGAATCAAACCATTGTAAGCTAGAAAAAGTTTGTTAGCTGCACTTCAGTGGGTTTTAGACATGTATTTCCAAAGTCTGGCTGAAATTACGAGGCTTCCCCCCAGCACTGGAGAAAAATCTGGGGAACCTGGACTGAGCCTACAGCCTCTGCAGGGTAGAAAAATGAGTTTTTAATTGATTTATGCTGCAAGCTGCCTGTTGGGTGGTTTGCTGCCTCTTCCTCCACAGCGGGGAGGGCTGCATGCCTGGTGCCCACTGAGGGCTGGCGGGAACACGGGGATGGCCAGAGCCGCATGGGGCCTCGGCTGCAGGTGAAATCACCAGCTTCCCCCGGCCCAAAGCTGCCCTGGGGACAAGTGTCCCGGGGCTGCCCTCGTCTGGGTGCAGGGCCCGGGGCACCCTGCGGGTGCTGACCGCTGCCCTGGGGTCTGGCGGGGAGCAGGGAAGCACTTTCTCCCCTCACTCCTCATCTCGCTTCGCGCCAGCCGAGCACGGTGGCCAAGCGCAGTGGCCGGGCTCTCCCTGCCCTCCCCCAGCTGTGTCCTGCCTGCAGCCTGCAGGGACCTGGGTGCTCCACTCCCGCGAGGGACGGCCGTGTGTTTTCCTCAGTCGCTGTTAATTATCACGGTCATCAAGAGTTGTGGCCGCTCCCTGGGAGCTGCTCGGTGGGGAGGAGGGCTTGGCTCCCCCCGGGGACAAATGCTGCAGCCATCCCTGGGCACCGGGTGCCAGCCCACCTCTCTCCTCTTGCCCTAAGGGAGGACGTGGCTGTCTCCACAGCCCGACTCGTGGCCGTGTTGGTAAAGCCCCCCCCCGAGCTGGGCTCCTGGCTCCTGCTGTGGTGGGACAGGGAGGAGGCAGCCCCCTGCTGTCCTGTATGCCCTGGCAGGGCTGGGGCAGGTGCCCCAGGGTGGCAGCTGTTCTCCGCTTTGACGCCCACCCTTAGCTGCTGCATTCTACCTCCTGGGCTGGGGCCGCAACAGAAAGGAGCATTTAAAAGAAGGATGATGCAGTGAAATTTTACAAATAAAATGGGCCTCCTTGGGGCTCGGCCTGGGGGTGTGGGAGTGTGGTCGCTGTGAGACCTGGCTCAGGCACCACCGTGCCTCAACAGCTCAGCCCCTTCCAGCCCAAAAGGGGGAGGGATGCAGCTGCCACCCAGGCTCTGCGGCGCTGGGGGCAGAGACACCCTCACTCCCGCAGCTGCCGTGGGAGGAGATGCTGGCTGTGGGGGGCAGGGCTGGCATGGCGGAGCCCCAGGTCCCCATCAGCCGGGGCTGGGAGCACCACACGGCTGACAAGTGGTCCAAGGGGCAGGTTTGGGCCAGAGACACCTGAACAGAGGTCGTGCGGTGCCCAGCATGCCTCAAGGCAGCAGAGCCAAGGCTGCAGGAGAGACCTGGGGTGCTTCTCCCACCGCACGTGGTGCAGGACCTCCAGCCAAGACCTCTTCTCCCCAGCAGCACCCACCTCACTGCCCTCCCTGGGGCCGGGTGCCTCTCACCTGCCTTCTCCAACCACCAGCATCTTCACCACCAGCCCCTGAGCAGATGTCACAAGGTGCTCCAGGTGCATCTCGAGCCAGGACACAAACCCCAGGCTCACGGCACATGAAGGTGAGACCCACCTTGACTTTGTCCCCACCTCGTCGTGGTGCTGCTGGAAGGCCAGCCCTGCTGAACCCAGCGACACGCGCAGAGCACCCCAGGGTGTGCTGTGGGTGCAGGTGCCCTTAGCATGGTGTGGGGCCTGGCTGAGCCCCCTTGGTCTCTGGCCCCTCTATGTTGCCCAGCCCATGCCACCAGCCCCCTCCCTGTGGGATGGAGTGGCCCCAACAGCTCACAGGGGCTCCTGGCTGACCTGCAGCCACCCAAGTGTGGGGTCCATGGTCATGGCAATGGTCTGTGTTGGCGAGCAACATGGGGGGCTCAGCTGCCCCCCCCCCTTCCCCCGGACTTGTGCCCACCATCTGGCTGTGGGTGGTGTTTGCCCACCTGCTGTTACCTGCCTCAGGGCACTGTCACAGGGCAGATGTGCAGATTTGAGGTGTGTTTGCACAGTAATGAGTTCAGGGGCTGCAGCTGGGGGCTGCTCACTGTCCCAACACCCCCCACAAGCTCCAGGCAGGAACAAAGAATTGCGAAACCCTCTGCCTGCACCACTGCCAATCCCGCACATCCCTGAGAGCAGCCGCACTCCTGGACCAGGAACTGGTGATGCCGGAGGGCTCCGAGCCAGCACTGGAAAGGTAGCCGTGTTCGTGTAGCGACGGAGCCCCTCCACCGTTTGTGTGATGCAGTGCAGGGCCCTGCCGTGGGGATGCTCCTGGGGAGCAGCAAACAGCTGCTTTGGGCGGGACCAAGCAAGGCTGGAGGCTTTTGAGAGGCAGAGCTGCAAAGAGCAGGAGCCTGGGGGGGTGTCAGAGGGGCTGAGCAGAGATCGGGCAGAAGCCAATGCACCTTGCTATTGTCACTAATGAGCCTGCGTTCACTGCATCACCAGTTCGCTTGTGTCATTTTGCTTTTCTCAGCCCAGGTCTGGCCCAGCTCCCCCACAAACAGCACCAGAGGAGCAGGGCAGGAGCAGCCAGGGGTTTGTCCTGAAGCAACACCCCATGCCCTGTCCCCGTGCTCCCCAGGGTCCCCCATGGCAGGTGCCCGCAGGGAGACACTGCCAGGGGCCCAGCCAAGCACTCCCATCAGTGCACACACAACCAGCAAGGAGGAACTTAGTTATCCTTTTATTTATAAACAAATCAACGTAAAATAAGTGCAGAGGAAAGCACTGGCTGACCCCGCACGGGGACCTGTCTGTAGTGGGCCAGCAGGATCAGCGTCAGGTAAAAACGAGGGCCATCCCGGGGCTGATGCTGTGCGTGACGGGGCTCTGCGAGTGGCCAGAGCCCCACCTCCCTCCGACCACACCGGGGCAGCAGCAGGGACCGCAGCAGGGACTGCAGCACAGACTTTGCTGTACAACAAAAAGCCTTTTTATTACTTTGGGGTTTGGGTTTTGTTTTTTTGTTTTTTTGCAACTTTTCCCCTTAGGGGTAAACCTGACCCAGTGCAAGAGACTGGAGGGTTGTTCACCAGGGCGCCCATTCTGCTGCTGGCCAGGGCCCTCGAGGCTGGTGGGAAGAGGGTGCGAGACGTTGCTCTGGATGCACAGAGGGTGAGCTAAAGGCAGGAGAAGAAAGAAGTGCTTGCGGTGGAGATCTCCGTCCCAGCCCTTTGGTCATTGCAGAAAGGAAGCGTGTGTGGGAGCGTGCTGTGGGTGCATGCGTGGGCACACGCCTGGGACAGCCCTCGCCTCCGCTGCGCCTCTCCCCATCAGCCCTTCCCCAGCTCCTCCCAGGCCGGGGGAGGTGATGCTCCAGGGGACCACACAGCCCCTGTCCCCCCAGACAGCCCCGAGCCTGGCAGCCGCTGCCCAGAGGACAGGGCGGCACGGCTGGGCGGCCTCCGCTCTGATACTCCTTTTGCAGCTGCAGTAACATGCGTAGGACAGCGGGTTACTGCTCAAGTGCCATCAAAAATAAATACATTAGACTGTCTGAAACAAACAGGTGCCCTCGCAGGAAGAGCAACGCAAGGGCAGGTCACCGCACCAGGATCCTCTGACTTGCCAGACCCAACACCCTCTCGCACACGCTGAGCTGGGACGGACCAAAACACCAGAGGACCAGGAGGGCCCCTGGGAAGATGAACCTTGGCATCTCTGGCTAAAAATCGCCAAGAGTTGCAAGTTCAGCAACAGGTAGAAAAATCATTTCATCATTTTAAACAGACAACTCCTTATAAAAAAAAAAAAAAAAAAAAAAAAAAAAAAAAATACCCAAAAAAAAAAAAAAGGAGAGAAGGATCAGTCGAGTCCTGCAGCATCCAGCCAGTCTCTGATGCCGACCCAGGCCCATCCTTGCCACGGGTATGCCAGACCCAGCCACGCTTCTCAGCTCTCCCACAGCTCGCTCCACACTCCTGGACAGCGCCGTGTGCCGCCCCACAGCCTCCCCAGTCAGAAATAAATACAAAGGCCTCCATTCCCGGCCCGGCGTCCCCAGCTGGAGAAAGGCTGGGAGCTGAGGAGCTGGCAGAGCTTGGGAGGTGAGCGGCCCCCGGGACAGGCGGATGGGCTCCCCCAAGGCATGGAAGATGGGCACGGGGGCAGTCGTTGCTCTGAGCTCGGCACGGTGATACGGGGGCTGAGCGTGGGTCAGGGTCACCGTCCCCCTCGCAGCCAGGCTGCCTGGTGAAGCGCAAAGTGTCCAGCCCCCCTGGCCCACCGCCCCTCTGAGGGGATGGGAGCCGAGGGCCGCCCCAAGCAGGTGAGACTGGGAGTGCACGAACCACAGCGAGAGGGAGAGGAGCCGGCGTGAGTGCCCTGTCCCCACGGGCTCTACCCGGAGCCGCTGCTCCATCCCAGGGAAGCAGGACCAGGAGCCTGCGGAGAAGCGCCAGCTGGGCAGCAGGGAGAGACCCTCCGCTTCCAACAGGATGCCCATGACTCGAGTCCAGTGCGAAGGGACGGGGCCAACTGTGTGCCAGCCTCCTCCCGAGCGCCCGCTGGGGCCTGGCTGCTGGCGCAGGGGCGGGCAGGCAGCTGGACCCCTGCAGCGGGGCCGGGGTGTCGGCGTGGTGTCCGTCTGCGGCGTAAATGGGTGTGTGTGCATGCGTACCTGTCAGCAGGTGAGCGCGGGTATGGATGGCCAGGAGCGGAGCTTCCAGGATCCGTCCTGCCAAGTGTCCTCTCAGAACTTGCCTTGCTTTAGCTTGTCGATGTGGTAAGTGAGCTTCAGGGCTGGCCCCAGCTTCAGCCCCATGTACTTCATCATCATGTCACTCCGTAGCAAGAGAAGGGCTTTCCCATCGATCTCCTGCAAGGAGGGGGAAACAACAGCACTGGTGACTACACCTGTAAGCCCTAATCCTGGCTGCTGAGCCAGGCCGTGCCCAAAATGACGAGGGCTGAAGCAGCATGGCTAGGTGCGAGAGCACTGCTCGACAGTGGAGGTGGGTTGCACATAACTGCAGCATCCCAGCACAGGCATCCCGCCCTGCCTGCAGCATGGGGGTTCAGCCCCAGACCCTTGTGTGGCGGTGGGAAATCTGCTGGGTGATACACACCCAGGAGCCATGTCCAGCTGGTCAGCAAATCCTGAAGGAGGAAGCATGGAGGAAGGAAAAGAGGGGGGTTTCCCTGACAGGGGAACGGTTGAGGCAGTGGCAGTGCAAGGGAGCAGTCTCACTCAAGAGCATCGTCATCCCGCTGCAGGAGAGATCTCCCAGCACAGGATGTGTTGACCCTGACAGCAGTCCTGCCATGACACACACAGCCCTGAAGTCAAGGTTGAAGAAGGAGGCAAGGGTCCAAACCTCGTAAACCCAAAAAGACTGCCACTGTGTGCAAAGCAAATTTCTGGAGTTCCTAAGTCCCAGGAGCTGGCAGAGCAAGGGTGGAGCATCTCATCTCCAGCTGGGCTGATTTCAACATCACAGCTTTCAAAAGTATCTGATGCTTTACAGCTGAGCCAGATGAGTCCCTCACTGAAGCTCAGGAGGGCAGGGATCACAAAGCTCAAAATAAACAGACAGCAGCTTTGTACTTAGCATCTGTGAGTGCAAGATTTCAGTCCCTTGCAGCACTCCTTTCCTTGACCTGGTCCAGGCTTGGCCCAGAGTTTTGCAGCGGACAGTTTTCCATGAAGAAAACGTTAATGGACTTACTTACAAATGAAAAATAAAAGTCACAACCTTGAACAACAGAAAATCCTGTCCTATGTCGATGCTCAGTTAGGTCTCACACTTGGTAAGATCTCCAGTACCAGGTTCGTTCTGCTTTTCCCTTCTTCAGATGAAAGCGAAGTTCTTCCTCAGGATTGCAAATACAGAGGACTTTCATCCCTTAGCAGAGCTGAGCACTCTCTTGCATAATTAAAACAAAACATTTTTCAATTACTGGTGGTTCTAAAATAGAACTAATTAAAAAAAAAAAAGAGAGTGTTGTCTCAGCCCAGCACAGATTAAGAAGCATCCCATCTGCCTCTCCTGCCTGGGGAAGGCAGGTATTTTCTCCTACTGCTCTTCTGACTTCATGAGCACCAACAGGTATAACATGGAATTAATCAAAAGGCAGAGGGAAGACGAACTGCCTGGCAGCAATCAGGACATGGAGCTGCCAAAATTTTTGTAGCTTTAATTGTACAAACTCCATGCTGTATGTCTGCAGCTATTTTACACTGAAAGACATGCACAAGAGCCAGAGCCTTAGGAGAATCCTCTTTATAGGAAACGGGGAGGGGGGGGATGTGCGTTTAGCAGCAATGCACTCAATGAATTCCACTTGGAACATGCTTCTTGCCAGGAGAAATTTGTTATGAGGTGAATATTAAGACTCCAGGATGAACAGGGGTTTGTGTTTTCAGTGCTAGGTTTCAAATCCAACTAAGAGCTGAGGTCTCCATATGCACAAAGGTGGTGGTGCTTGGAGCGTTAGGTGGGCTGCGATGTCTTCCCCTCGACGATTTCTAAGTAAGAGGATCCCAAGCCTGAACACGATACGAGCAGGATTTATGAGGACGTTTTTCTTAGCACAAAACTCCAGCTGGTACGAAGTGCTGCCGTTCTTCTGACTCTCCTAGATTTTCCTTGTGTGATGATCTGCCCCCTCCCATATATAATATACACACACACATACGTATATATACATATACAAACATACTTACATGTTTTCGAAAGAGGTCAGCGTGGGGTCCCAGCTGTGGATCCGATTCCCGTATGAACTGCATCACCTCCTCCACTGTCCAGGACGAGGGGTCGCGGCTGCTCAGCCGCGAGACGTCTCGAGATCCAAGGTATCTATCTGAGCCTGGGGGGGAATTGTGAGAAAGCAGCCATTACTCCAAGTATCCCCACGGCATCGCTCCAGCAGTTATTTACCCTTGATCTACCACTCAGTCTCCTTTCTCAAAGCAATGGCAGAGACAACGCAGAGGGCACATTCCAACTGTGCCCCAGAGATTCCTGCGGCACACGTCTAGCACCAAAGCCTTATTCTCTTTCCTTAGGCCTTACTTTTCGAGGCAGCCTTCTAAACTGAGCCCTTTTGCTCACTCTAAACCCGAATTTCCCCTTGCCCCCCTTCAGCTGAGTTTGGCCCCCCCATTCCCACTCTTCCTCGCCCATCTGCTGATGGTTCCCACCTTTGCAGAAAACAATCCTCCGTTCCCACTTGTCTCCCCATGCACCATTTCTCCCCTCACTCCCCAGCTCCGAACACCACCTTTAGCAAATTTAACATGGCAAAGCTGTTTTATGTTTTCATCGGCTGCGTTTTCTGACGGACTGAGCCCATATGTGAAATTCTGTTGTCTTGAAGCACTGCCCGAGCTAACAGAAGTTCTGCTCCCAACGTGCCAGCATCGGCACAGCCCGTTGTGTCAGCTCTCTCTGCCTGCATACACAGATGTGGGGGGAGGCAGATGGACCAAGGCATCAGCAGCCTGACCTTTTTAGAGGCTTTTATTGATGCCGTGCACCTAAAATTACAACTTTTTTTTCAAGCACCTAGATTTGACATGTGCTGATTTACTGCAGTGAACAGCTCTCCTGCCCCTATTCCTCCAGACAGACAAGGGCTGTTCGCGCATCCGCCCATCATCCTGGCCACCCGCCCCAGCTCCCAGCCTCATCGGGCAGTTTTTGACTCCCTGGCCATTCCCAATCCATCCTCATGGACTCGGATGCCCATTTATCGCTTTGACAGCCTGCTGCCCATCCTTGCAAGTTCAGCTCCTGTCTACTCCTTCCTCTCCACTGACCTCCAGGTCCACCTAGTCACCACGCCAAACAAGTGACCCTGCAAGCATCACCTCTCCGTATTTCCACCCGCCCATCTGCCATGTCTCTAGAGCTACCGTTAAACCTAACAGACTACCTGTTTAACAGTGTAGAGGCCAGTCTCTGGTACTTGCTGAAGTTAGAAAGGTGTAACTGGAGTTAGAAAAGCCCTTTATTGCCAAATTTACAATCGGAGGGCTGGCTTCTTAACTCTCTTACCCCCAGAGCTAAGCCTACGCAAGGCAGAGGTACTGCCCTGGGTGAGGCTAGAGGGTTGGTGCAGGTGCCTGTATCCTTGCAGGCGATAGTCTCTGGAGCTCCTGCTGTGGCTGGATGAATTGACAGAGTTCAAGGCTGAGTCCATGGGGTCCAGGCGAGGCTCCAAGGGCCCTGGGAGGCCATCTCCCAGAACAAAGGTTTCACCTAGAATGCACCAAGCTGCAGTCAGTGCACCCGAACGCCACGCAGCCCGAAGTTACCACTCGGCGGCAGAAAGCAGAACCGCAGCAAAGGCAGTGCTTGCGCACAGCTGCGGGAGCAGGGCCGAACCACCGCATTGGCGGTCTCCTCCAAAGCACAGAAATTAAAACAGGCACTGCTAAAGAGCTGCAGCCTGGTGTTTGCCTGGCAAACGGCAGTCCATCCAGTTAGCATTAGTGATAATGGTTGGTAGCCATACTGGAGCAACAGCTCCTCTGTTAATGCCACCACCAGCTCCAGCTGCAGTCCCATGTCCTTACTGCCTCCAGAGGCCTTTCTGTGGCAGTGGGGCATCACGGTGGCAGGCTGTGGAGGGCTGCCCGTTCTGGATGTCAACGGACACAGGAGTCACACAACAGCCCTGACTGGGGAGAGGAAGCTCCCTGAGGGGTCAAGCGCCGCTCATCACCCACATTAGTGTGCAAAGTAATGGACCAGGCATTTGGGGTTGTGGGGCATATTTAGTAAGACTCATGCTGTAGCCTGGATAGCAGCACACATGCAGAGCAGGACGGAGCAGCAGGCTCCTCTGAGCAGCTCAGCTGCACCGTCATGGCCTTGCAACACTCTCATACCGTGCTGATCCTCCAGCCCCAAAAGCAAGGCACCAGTGACCAGCTGCTCACCCCTCCTGACCTCCTGCTGGGCCCTTTTTCATTGCCTAACCAAGATGGTGACCAATACCCTTTGCTGGAACACACGCAGAGGGCTCTCCCTGAGCAGGGGTCCCAGTGTGAGACTGGCTTCCTCAACTTCTCTTCCAGAAACATTTAATTTTCAGCTATCAATGGCAGCATTAGGATGGAGAGGCTGAGGAAACTATCTGGGGTGATATATTGTATTGGCTGAGCCAGCAAGATCTCCCTTTGCTGTTACGCTGTGACAGCTTCATCCTAGGACCACGTGTTTGTAGATTTTACTATGCCATGCATAACCTAGTCTGAGTCCAGGTGGACCTGATGCCTCATGAGTCAGCCTCAAATACCTGTGTTATTTATTATGAAATACCTGGCAAGTTCGTACAGCCAAAGAGGAAAGCAGCTCCTACAACGAGGGGTACTGCCTGTGCACTCTAGTCTGGGCCACTGCATCTGGCTGCGAGCTGGAGCTCCTCTACCAGCGTCCATAGAGGAGACCCTGAGGGCAGCTCACAGTCCTGAGCTACTGCCACTCAAACACCACGGTAGGTGAAAAGGATGAAGAAACCTGAGCAACTGCCTCAGCTAGGCCCTGGGTTTCTTCCCCGGGACTTCCCAGATCACAGCAGCCGCAGGTGAGAAGCCAGCACAGTGACATAGTGCTGACCTGGGATGGTGGTGAGGGTGCAGAGTCAATACTGCAGCCTGTGAGACCCAAAAGCTGTTGAGATCTTCCCAAACTTTCCTGCTAAGCTGATGCTGCCATGTTCCAGTGAAGGGAAATGCAGCTTGCCAGAGCCTGAAGTGGTACCTGAGCACTGCAGAGGTGAGACTGCACCAACTGGGGCAACCTCTCTTGTAGGCGCATTATTTTCCTCTGGTTTCTATGAACTACAGGACTGTTCTGTGAACTGGGATCCTCTGGTTTCAGTGCTTCTGCTGTCTGTGTTTGAGCAGAGATCTCAGAGGCGACTTCAGCTGGAGGCAGCCAGCCCATACCTTCCCTGGCTTCATCTCATAAGGCTACAGAATGGAAACATCCCTCTTGACTAGCTGTTTGGCAATTCAGTGCAGCAGATATGAGGTTATCATCTGTGTAACTGCAACCCTCTATCTCATGGGCTTTGTTACTCTGCACTTCAGGCATTTCTGCCTTTCTTTGCTTTTAGGTCTCTGGGATGCTCTCAGAAACCAGCAGCACATCCTTAAAATCTCATGTAGAAACAGTACTGGTGTGAAGACTTATGTGACCTGTGCTGTGTGATGGCCCACATGTCACTAGCTTCCCGTGTGGGTAAATGTGTTTTCACCTGTTCTCTATGCATTAACGAAGGCTTTCTGACTCATGACTATTCCTGAATAACTTTGGACCCCTCCTTCACTCTCGCACCACTTTCCCACCATCCCATTTCAGCACAAGACCAGATGCAAACCCAGCACTGAGGTGGCTGCTCTGGCCCAGTGGTGCATAGAGATTCCATGGCCCAGGCCCAGACAGACTGACACAGTGGATGCGACTTATACCAGTGGCACTCCATAGGAGCTTCTTCACATTTGGTCTCCTCTCCAACAGGACAGTCTTGCTTAAAACCCAAACCACTTCCCATTAAAGATCTGTGCAAAAGGGTGATGTCTGACTCGCAGGAAAGTGCAGAGGCATGAGAGGGGTCAGTGGGCACAGCTCTCTGCACCGGTCTGGATGCTTTGTAACAGGACGGTGGCTGTGAGCATGGGAACAGGTCTGTGCTGCAATCTCCATCCTCCAAGGAAACCCAGCACCCCCTGTGAGGTGACGCACAGCTTCAACTTGCCAGGAAGTCCCAGGACACTTGCCCCAGATGTGCTGGGTCAGGCAAACGTGCGCATCTAACTGCTCGTGAAGACCCCAAAGCTCACACAGAGGGGGTTCGTGTCAGCAGAAGGAATTTCTGGGCTCAGCTAGAAAAGACTACAGTTTGAAAGGCTGGGAGACCATGTGCACAGGTTCATGTCAGTGCAATGCTAAGGATCCAAAACTCACTCTCAGAAAATATTTATCTCGGCAATTAACACACTGTCATTATTCTGATGTGAATGCACTGTGATGCATTCTTCAAATATGCGATCATGTTCTCACATGTGCTTATGATCATACATCCAAAGAAGAGGATGAGGCCATGCAACTGGGGAGCACTACTTTGTTTTGCCCAAGAGGTAGAATTGAAGCTGCATGTTCATCCTCGGGTTACCTATCTCTGGACTGGTGAGTGCTTGGTTGTGCTGTAAATATTGCAGCAGAGCTGGAGGCTTCTTGGCAGAGTCAATGCAAGAGAGATTTAGGATTTTCTTAAAAATACAAACACACAGAGAACCGCTCAGATGAATCATACCTCCAGAAAGAGGAGAGGGAAACAAGGCAAGAGGGGAATGATTACTAGCCCTGTGAATCATCTGTAGCAGAAGACAACACGCTTCTGCAAGTGGCAGGGCACAGACTGTGTTCAGGCATATACACTATCCAGAATCCTTTTGCTCTTGGTAACTAGCATCAGAGCAAGGAGGAGGTGGCTAATTCTTAGGCAGATTTCGTTATACAAACTGCTAGTTTTAAATAAAGGCTTGCATTTAGAGCATTGTAAGAAAACATGCCACGATTAGTGGCAGAGAGGCAGGGAGCAGATAATTAAAGTTTAATTAAACAAATAGTGCTATAGATTCAAGAGTGTTGTTTTACTGCTAAAACATGGAGTTTGGCCACAAGCATAAATCTGATTTGCACAACTACTAAACACCCACTGTTTCCAACAAATGATAGTCTTTGAAAAGCAGGTCCCCACTGTGCTGGAACTGCAGCTTTTTAGCAGAAAGCTACATAAATGCCACTGGATGCAAGAGGAAAAACAATGTAAGAAGTGAGATCCCCTCCTTGTCTTTCTGACTTCTTGCCAAAGGCTCGATGAATGAAGACTTCCCACTGCTACTCACTGCCTTCCATTTTGGCAAACTGGAAACTGTTCAGGTACTATTGTCTGTCACACTGCTGAAGCCAGAATGCGCTCTGCTGGGGGAGTTCATCATCATAAGAAGATGTACCTCCTTGCTCGAGAAATATTCAATATCTGGGTATTTCAGGCTCATATTCTTAAAATATATCCTCTGAAATGCCAATATTCCTGCCTGTACTTAAATTTCATGGTGGAGGAGGATGAATAGGCTTTTAGCTGTGGGATAAAAATTAATTTCTAGACAGAATTTGGAACTGCACCTCATTTCCCCCTGCCCTGTACTGTATTTTGCCCTGCTTGGACCAAGAACAGAACAGGACCAAGTTGCTGTAGGAAGTTCACACACCAACAGGATCATCACCCTCACATGAAGGCACGCCTTCTGCCCACTTGTCTCTACTTTTACAGAAGAGGCTGGAGTATTCTGGGCATCCAGATGTCATGACCCATTCACAGGCCAAGAGATAACTGAATAGACTTTGAAGTAGACTAAGAATCAATCTTGTAGACAACCTAACATAGGTTCCTCCTTGGAATTACCCATTACGGAAGCCTTCTCTCTTCACGGCAATACAGAGAGTGTACAATATTCACCACCCAACCAAGGCACCTTAACCTTTAGAGCACACCACTGCACTTCAAGAACAGGCCAAATACTGCATGTTCCACCTGCTGATAGAGGAGAAGCGGACAGGCTTTGCTAATGGTTACCTAAGTGTACCAGTTGATGTATTAAAGGAGAACGTCAAGGAGACCAGCAAGGACGTGTATTTAGAGGTGAGAAACAGACTCGGGCTCAGGGAACAATTTTTGACTTGTCAATATGCTGGAATAGATGAGACAGTCCCACACGTCACCCTGTTCTTTGCTTCAGCTATGTGACAAACCTACAATTTTAATCAATGCAGATACTAAGGCCACTAGAAACTGTCCATCATAGGATGCAAGTTCAGATCAGCTGTGCTTAGATACAGGGTCAGTAACCCTGAAGAGCACAGGACACAGTGATGGATGGAGACTAAAATTACATTACAGCGCTGGGAGGCTGTGCACTTTCAAATCTGGGATCAATAACCCAAGCCCAGCAAACTCAGCAAGAACCAGGGAAATGGTGATTCTAAAGGGACAGCAACAGGGCACAAACCCGCTGAACTATAAGCCCAGCCAAGAGTCTCCAGCAATTTTTCAGGGACATATTACAAAGAATTGAGACTAACAACTTGGCAGATTTCACCACTAATTAATTAAAAGGCTTCAGTAAGGTTAAATCTCCAGTGTGCATTATGGAGAGTTTGCAGTTCAAAACAAAAGGGAAGGTGGAAGTGTATTTATTGAAGGCTCCTGCTCAGGCTCAGGTAGTCCTCCAGCTACCTGGACCCCCTGGAAATCTCCCACCTGCACATGCAAGGGACACCTGTGGACCACATACCAAAGAGGACATTTCTGCAATTGCTTTTGAGAATGTGGCACAGCACATCTGTACCAGCATTACCCAACGGACACTGCAGGAAGCAGCAGCACTGCGGGATGTGATTTGATCTGGTTCAGCTGGTGGAGCACACACTAGTGAGACCCTCCCTGCTATTTAGGGAGGATTGTGAGGAACAAGATGGGATCCTGGGAAAGGGCAGCATGTTCCTGGCCGTACAGCTGCACATCAGCATCTGTACAATACACTGCAGCAAACCATCATGGAAAAATTCAGGGGAAGATTGACTGAAGCAACTGGGCAGTTTTATGACTGTTAATACCATGCAGAGCAATGGAAGCTAAAATATGGGTAATTAAATCCCAGATTATATGGTATTAGATGATGACTATCAGGGTTAGAAGGAATTCTCCCTGCGTTCCACACGCCTTACACAACTGCTTGGGGAACCTGCCTTGGCATAGAGTGGTTTCTTCACTCCTCTCTGAAACACCAAGTACCAATCCATGCCACAGACAAAGCAAAACAGACTTCCTAAACCCACAGCTCAATTTGGCATGGCAAATCTAATCCTGCTGTATCCATTACAAGTTGCTATAAACAGCCTGCTTTGGGAAGAGACGCAGTGCTCACCTTCCAAAGGGTGACGGTCATTCTTTGGTAACTTGGGGGAGAGAGGAGCACTGTATGGAGGGGAATCTTGGGAATATCGCTTTGTACCCCGGCCTGGTCCCTGCAGAGTGCCGTCTAACGAACTGCTTCTGTCTAGGAAAAGAGAACAAGCCCTATTTAGGAGTGGAGACTTTCTGGGAAATTCAGTCTTGCCAGAGTCAATTCAGACTCGCATGCATTGCCAGCCTGGTAACAGCCTGTTAAAACTGCAATCCAGCACATCTGTCAGTGCTTAACATTTTATATTTTGTTTTGCAAGTTTTGTCAGAGAGAAAGGGTGGTGAGAAACCTAATGAAGAACCTTAGCCACATTTTGCCATATTTCACCCCAAATATCACCTCTGATTGACTTAATTCCATTTCTCCTCATTCTACCCCTTGGCTCATCCCGCATGATTCCTGCTCCTCCCCACTCTTCACCTTTCAGACGCATATAACCCTTGGACGATTTGCAAACACTCTGTGCCATACACAGTGCTTGATTAAACCGTACTCAAATTTTCAATCTTTCCCCAAATGGATCCCTCAAGTGCCCCAGCTGTCGCTGCTGCTCTTCTCCAAATGCTTCCCAATGACGGGATTCTCCGTATTGTACATGGCAGATGAGACGTCAGGCTGGGCTGCAAGACGCCTCTTTGCAGACAGCTAAAGGCTGCACACAAAGTGTCAGGGGGTGGATGAACACAGAGAATGGAATGGGAACAGCAGCCAGGCAAGTGATACAGTGGGTGGCAGACCATGCCCCACCTGGACAAGGCATGGTCAATTGAGAAGCAATGAAGAGGTGACCCACCAGCCACTGCCTGCCCACGTGGGCCACCGGTGCTCCCGGCTGGCCCCTTCCAGCTGCCCCGAGCACGGGTGACACGTGTGAGCCTGCAGCGTTCGAGGTATGCGGGGAGAGACGGGTGAAATGCTCACAGACAAATGTTGGAAGCTGGACAACACCATGGAGCAGCCCCAGCTGCCGAAGCAGGGCAGGAATGGGTGCTGGAGGGGTGACAGAAATACGGTGGGAAGCGATTGGGACCAGACACCAAGGGAGATGCATCATGCCAAACAAAGAAATGAAGGTACAGATGGCTGGGAAGCATCAGACAGTCACAATTTTGTTGACTAAAGAGAAATACAAAGGTAGAGAAAAGTATCTGTCTATCAAAATCCTTTGGGGAAACAAAAGATAAGCTGCTTATACTGAGGTCCTGGGACTCCATACAAGTATGATCCAAAATCACTGTAACATTATTAGAAAAGACAAATACTGTCCTCAGGACAAGTCCCTGTAAGAAACATTCATTGCCCAGACAGAGATGAGAAACAAATGCTCTTAGTCATGTCTCCGGGTATCTCTAAATGTAAAACTGCATGACTTTCTTCACCAAACAGTCACAGAATCACAACAAAAGGGGATACTTTTTAAAGGTTTCATCAGGTTTTGTTTTGGGTTATTTTTTTTAAATTGGTTGATTTTAAAAGTAATGCAAACACAGAAGGTCAGGTTGTAGAAGATAACCCAGAGAATCAGAAGTTAGGTCAGTGTAAATTAATGGAAGGATAAACCAAAAGTAGGTCTGTAGTTAGGGTGTCCGATTTTAAAGGACTAATTTTAAGAAAATAAAGAAATGGAGTAATATATAGACCTGCGCTCAGCACTCACAGTGCGGATCATCAGGAAAAAAAGAAAATACCTTCAGTTCAAAAGATGCCATAAACATCATGAATGTGTATCATCAGTGAGGAAATAATCTGGGAGGAAAGGACCCCAAATCTAAGCGGATAAATGTTCACTTTGAGAATGATGCTGAGAACAAGCAGATCATTTACTGGACATGAAAAGGACCTGCTCAGCATGTAGTTGTATACCTCAGAGGATGGTGAGTACAGGGACAAAGTGAACTTTTTCACTCATTCTGTCTTTTGACACAGTGCAAAGGAAAAGACAGGACTGCATTTTCAGCTACAGAAGTAACAAGCGCATGGGAACGGAGCGAGAGGATACTGTGCAGAAAGGCAAGGATTGAGAAAAAGGACAAAAAGGTTGTCCTTGCCTGCAAATGATGGGACAGCTTTGAGAGGTATTTCACCTCACCTACCTTGGGAGGTTGGTGGGGAGGAAGAGAAGCACATCTGCCCATGCCTGGGTTTGTGCTGTTGGCCATCCCAAGGCAGTCCGGACAGATGCCTTTACAGTCAGTGAGAGTCTGCTCACCTCATCTCATCAAGTCAAAGTCAAGGCTCCTACTTTAGGATGCTGTAACTTGCACTGATTGCACTGGTACCTTCTCCTCAACTGCAGAGCTTGCCTACACAACTAGCTCAGGTGTTGATGCCTCTGTGACATCCACCTGTGTTCAGTAAAACAAATCCCACCCTTCAGTTCCAGTTGCAGCCATGCTGAACACCAGGGGAAGGCTCGAGGGATAAAATAAACAGGACAGGAACAAAAATATACACCATTGTCTAAGAAGTGGAAGTCAAATAACTGAATGTACTCAAACCGGCGACATGAGGGTGCACAAGAAGCCAAAATGCAACTTAAGAAAGAAGGCGCACATGAAACCCTGGGTCTGCTGCAGCAAATTTTAACAAAACTCAGTGACGCACTGCTCAGAGGGACTGGAAACATGGTGCTAACATTTAGAAAAGAAGGTGAAAAAATGATTTTGGCAACAAAATGCTCACGTCTGACCTCAGCAGTACTGCAAGGGTTGTAAGAGGTTCTGAAGGAAAGGGTAGGGAAAATATTGCAATTACACATGGCACATACTGCGGTAGGTGTTCATCAAAGGAGACTAACCCAATAGCTTCCTTATCATGGGAAAATAAAATCTAATAAAATGTATCAGGCAAAGGAAGAGAGGCCAATCTCATTTACCTGGAATTCAGCAAGGCGTTTGATATGGAGAACCACTAGCTGAGACAGAGAATGTGAGGATTACCAGAAGCCTTGTTATATGCACAAACATCTGATTTGAGGGAAAAATCAGTCAGCAGAGCACTAAGCCACAACATGAGGCTGGAAAGCAATTGCTAATAAATTTTCTTGAGGATCATTCTTGAGCCCAGTGCCATTTATTAATAACTTTGGCACAAATTTTAGAGGTTCATCAGTGAAATCTGCTCATGTCTTCCCACGTCAGGCCAGATAAAGTAGCATTTGAAATTATGCAAAAAAAATATATATAGAACAGAGTAACAGAATGGAGGTAAATCCAGCAGCAAAACACAGATGTGCACTTGAAACATTGTCCCATGAGCTGGGAACTTGCAGTTGAAAATAATGGATGAGAAGAACAGAGTATGCAATCAGGACGGGTTGATCATCACCTGCTACAAGGATACAGTGACGAAAAGAGGCATCCAGAGACATTTCTTGTGAACATGGTGGTGCCAGTGCTGTGGCACCAGGTCCCCATGAGCTCTTCCCCAGAGTGCTGGGTGGCACTCTGGTCACCTCATGAAGTTTAATTCAAACCAACACTAGATGAGGAGAGCACAGAGCCTTTCTCACCAGAGCAGCCAAAAGGTGAGCTCCCCTGAAGGATACAACTGCTCTCTAACTACTTCCAGAAGAAGGAGAACTGAGTTAAACTAAAAGACAATGTTAAGACAAGGAGACATGGATACCAAGCTGCCCAAGAACAAATCTGGGCTAGAAACTACAACATAGTTTCTAAAAATTCAGCAAAAAACCTTGGAGCAGGCTCCAGTAGAAAAGCAAAATCCCCAAATCCAGAGTTAGTTAAAGCAACACTATGCTGCGGTGCCTGTAATAACAGGACCCGAGGCTCAACAGTCCAGAAGGTCCCTCCAGTCCTATGTTTTCAGATGGCTTCAGATCAGACCTACCTGTTCACAACATTTCACAGTCCATCCCTGTTCCTATTAACAGCAATTAACTTCCCATTTTCTTGCAACTCTACTGTTTCCTGATGTACAACTTGATCTCTTTCCCCTTATTTCCATGATTATGCCTTACTTAGCAAGAGAAAATGCTAGGATGCAGCTGACCTAAGGCCTGCTGCAGACCTTCCTTCTTTTGCCCCAAGCACACACACAAATTCTCCACAGCATCCACATCGGTGCTCCTGTAAAGCGAGTTTGTTCTGGGAATTGAGACCAGCTCCCAGTCCTAACCAGTGATAGTTTTTCCTAAGAGCCAGCCCCATTCAGGCACACGAGCACCTGTACTGTAGAGGAAACAAGGCAGGACACACAGAGCTGAAGGTGAGAACAGGACAGCCTTGACACTTGGTGTGGTTTAAGCTGATGTTCAACTGCATCCTCATTCTTCCATGACCAGCCCTAACCTCTCAAAATTGCCGGTACTGTTTCTTTGCCCTCACCAAAAGCCACTGTAATGCAGAGATAACAATGTTTATCATCTTCTTTAAGGTGCCTGAGAAAGGTGTTAGATGACCAGATGTCCAACAGTCCCTGAGATATCAGTATAGACTACAAGACTAGGTGTTATCACTTCTCTTGACTGTTGTTAATCTTTCTTTAATCCCTGCAAACACCCTAAAGAAGAGTTCAGGATGGGCAAGTCTCAGCATCGTGTCATATCTGGTGCTCTGCCTGAGATCCCTGAATTCTGACTTTGCTTTTTATACTTTTCCACCCTGCCAGGCAACCCAGCTCTCAGCACAGACACCACTGACATCTCATGGTGGCTTGAAACCATGTGTGTGAGCTACAGGACCCTCTCCATCCAAGCCTGCTACCATGCCCAGACCCTGGGTCCTCTTCCTCCCATTCTGGTTTTGCTCTCTCTCATGACAACAGGGTACTTCCACACTGAAACATGGGGATTTCTTCTAATTGAGGGTTCCCTAGAGGGGTAACCTCTAGTCCCAGTACCTAGACATGCTGCTCCTTTACTTGCCACAGCAGCCAACTCACTTTCTACAGCTCCTCTTCCTACAGCACAGCATGGGTCCCTGCTCCTGGCATTGCTGGCTCCAGCATGGCTCTGCACAGCCCCAGCCTGCAGGCAGCTGATCAGCCATGGAGGAAGCAGGGGACAGTCACTCCAAGATCCTCACACTCTTTAGACTCTTGCTAATCCCTTCCCCTGAGTACTGGTGCTTTGCAAGATGCAATGAAGCACTGTGGCATTATGCTGCTGCCCCTAAGCTTCATGCTTAGCAACTTTTTCTTAAACAGTTCTTCCTAAGTGCTTATCCTTTTACATTAGAAATTCTTGCTTTTCTCGTCAGAGCCATAATTATCCAAAGGATTAACTTTGGAAAGACCTCAAACAGTACAACAGCTATTTGCTGACTCGGGGGGCAGAAAGATAGTGGACGAAATAAGACAGGAGAGCAGATCAGCACAAGACACTTGTCAACTACCTAAAGAGGGTGCAGATAGCTTTTATCCTCTCCACAACTGGCATTCCTACAGCAGTAGTTCCCCCAGAGGCTCACAGCAAGCATGGGGAGGCAGCTATCACCCCAGGGGTTTCTGCCACTACACAGCACTGCGGGGACTACTGGTCTTCTTGTTTTCCACCACTTTCATTTAAGAGCAACTTTGCAGCCTGACAATTTGCATTGTGGCATGAACTATCTTGCCAGGGGTGTGTTGCTTCAACGCAGAGGAGCATTAGCCATGCCAAGAAAAACAAAGCCACCTACGCCTCAGATCGCTGCAGTGTACATCATCCCTGAACAGGCTATGCTTTCACCAAGGGCTGGATGTGCTCTCTGCTGGCAGCAGATTCACGGCCAGTGTGTAAACCACTCTGCTAGGTTTTAATTCAATTTCTAATTACAGTTTACCTGCTGCACGTTATCACTCTTCTACTTCTCATGCAGTCTTTCACCTTAATTCCTAACTGGATGAAGTCACTATAATCAGATTGCAGGAAGTGGGAAGGACTGGGGGACAAGGAGAGGAGGGAAGACAAGGAGACAGCACGGATGAGCGGAAACCTACAGGCAGAGATGGAAATCAGACCGACAGGCAGAAAATACGGCAACTTGAATCCTGTGCAAAAAGAGCCCTGTGGGCATGTGCATGACACTGGGTGTGATGCAATGAACCCTGCAGAGAGGGCTCTGAAACACACGCCTGCCTCCCAAGATAAAGATAAAATCTGGGTTAAGAGCACCTGGGGTCCCTACAATGCCGCCCCCGCCCCAGCTCCTACCTGGTAGATACCTGTCGTGGTCGTACTCGTGTGAGCGCTGCATGTGGCTGTTCTGAGTGAAAGGCTGGTTCCCAAAGAGGTTGTCACTGCGAAGATTGTGGCAGAGCTTCTCCAGGAAGCGGAGGACGTAGGTGATACTGTTTACTGCTGGCAGGTTCAGAGTGTGCTGTTCCCGATCAAACACAGCTGGAGACAGAAACAAACAGAGCCCAACACGTAAACCCCCAGCAAAGGCAGGAGCCTACGCCCAGGGCTGCACAGCCAGCTTCTGTATCTCAGCATCACTGGTCTAGACTAGAGCAAACAAAAGCCACTGCCTTCCGCTGGCTGAGCGCTGGCGAGCTTGCTTCCCTGGGACAGGCTAAAACCAGTCTGCTGCACCCAGCATCAGGTATGGGGCTGCAGCGCCTGAGAAGCTGCGTTTGAGGGAATGGAAAGGCATTCAAGGAGGGGCCTGCACTCCCAGCATCCGGGTAAACACAGACTTAAAAGCAAAATTAAAAACCGGGGTGTTTCTTGTCTTGCCGTCAGGAGTTCAGAAAATCCCACCCGATCTGCCTCCTCCTGGGGGCTCGGGCAGTGCTGGGGGATGACAGGTGAAGCATAACGCTGCCCAGGCTGATACCAGGGCTGCATGCTGCCTTCTCCAGCAGCTGTGTCTGGAGGCCACACTAACTGCTCTGCTCTGAATCAGCTGCTAGCTGTTGCTTCACTGACACAGATGTTTGGCAAGAAAGAGAAGACAGAAATCTTCTGTCTGCCCCTGGCCCATGACTGCACCAAGCTTCAGGAGAGACATCTTCCAACGAGCGAATTCTTGCAATGACATCTCTGAAGGCAAAGTGCTGCGGGCCAGTTCTCACCTGAGATGACCTCTCCCCCGTGGCCTTGTTTTAAGAAGGAGAAGACTGTTTTCTGATGATAAGCGCAATCAATGCAGGCCTGTACTGCTTGCTGCAGGACAACAGAAGCTCGAGCTGGTCCAAAATGGTCCGGCAGCTGCTGAACCTTCTTCTTGTCTAGGTGGGGCCCAGTGCTGCCATTCTTGTTCAAGTAAATGCAAACTGCCAAGATGAGAAATGTGTTTGCCATTAACCCACTCAAGAAAGCAAGAAACAGATGCCTAAAAGCCAACCTGAGAGATGCTGAGATTTTAAGACTGTCAAGTCACTCACGAAGGGGAATCCACCATCACTGCCTGTCTGCATCCTAACAGCAGAGCCACTTATAGAGGGGAATCACCTCCAAAACCTTCCTGCCTCACACTCACCTTCCAAGCTGCTGCTGTTTCTCCTATGCTTTCCCCAGCACTCAGGCTCCCAAAGGCAGGCTGCAAAGTGGTTCCCATGCCTGCCAGGTAAGGTGGCCACGATGTTCAAAGGAGATGAAGGCACACAGCCTCCACTTTTTAGGGAAACTGAGTTCTTTAGGTTCCTCTGAAAACAGGCCAATTATGTTCTGGGGAAACAGAGGGCTCAGACCATATCCAGTGCTTGACTTGAACATATAAAAAGCAGTTTTGCATTAGACTTTCCTGCCCAGATTCATCTTCAGCTACATCTCGCAGCTGTAGCAGAGCATATAGTCTGCACTGCTGCTCCTACTACTTCCCTTGCTCCCTCTTGTCCCTGTTTGCCTTGATATCCTGGCTGAAGCTGAACAGATCATTGCCACTGTCATTCAGCAGTTGTTCTGCATCTTGCTGTAGCTTCAGCAGCTGTGCCTGGCATGGTTTGGGAGAGCTCGCACTCTGGACTCATGAGAGGTGCTGCACACCGTACTGCCTCTGGGCATGATGGGCCACGAGAAATGCCCTTCAAGAGCTGTGGAGTCACTAGCATGCACGTGGTAACTCAGGGAAAGGGGTCCCTGCACTGAACAGATGGACTCGCAATCTTCCTATGACTTCATTATTTCCAAAATGGACAGAGAGATAAATGAACAGCTGTCCTGAACTCGTGTGCCTCTCTTTTCCTCCCAACACACTCTCTATTAGGCCAGCCTTTCTGGAATTGTAACGTTTGCTGGTTTACAGGTTTAGGAAGAAATGGGAGTATCTTGGTGTGTCACTTTCTAACTGATGCACCTCCTAACTGTGCAATCTTGTCAAGAATGTGGTTTGAGACCCTTACCTGTGGGAGCCTGCATGGCAGAGCTGGGGATTGTAGCAGCATCCTGGGGCACAGTGCTTGTGTCTGGTTCTGGGGTACTGGTTGTTGGAGAGGTGGGTGCTGGGTTCAGCAATGTCCTAGGTTTCCTCTGCAGAAAAAGAGGAGATATTTCTCCTTTTATCCCTGCTCTCCTTTACGACCCATGTTCACTACACTCTCTCCTCTGCATCCAACAGACAAGGCACTGTGGAACATGACACACTTCTGATGGTGATGACGGGGAGTCTCAAGAACCTAGTAATCAATATGTGTGTATTTTATGAACCACAATCCTGAAAAAATAACAAGCCTGAGATCTGCCACTTCTGCTTGACTTAGACTAGCTACACACGATGGACGAAAGAGCTTATTCCACCGTTTGGCCATCCTGTCATGATCACAGCATCTGCCATGCTACTTCACAGCTAATGAAGCTTTGCAGCTCCAAAGACACAGTTTCTTGATGGAAATGATCTTTAGGACACAGACATTCTCTACAGCTCTGGGGCTGGACTCTGAGGGATATTCCCAGCCCACAAACCCCTTCTGTCTCCTACTTGCTGCAGTCATACAGCCAGAGGTTGAGACAAACGTGCACAACACACGCATGCACCATCCCATGGCAGAACTTGCAGCACCTGCTTTTCACCCGCCTGCATCAGCATCAGCTTTTACCTTACTGCCAGGCTTGGGGCCTCTCTTTCTGGGGAATTTCAAAGGCTCCACTGACTTGGAGGGTGTAGGCATGGGGTGATGGATTAGCGCTTTGGTCGTTCGACCACGCTTCTTCCCTGTTTTGCGACGCCTTTGCCCTTGTTGATGCCCCAAAACAGTCTTTGTGCTACTGTGCATGCTAGGTTTCTCCGAGTTTACTTCGGAGGCAGGTAAAGGGCTCTTTGGAATCACAACTGAAATAAAAAGAGAAAAAGCAAATATAATTAAATCAGGCGAGAATCAAAACAAGACCAGCCTCCATCTTCATACAGTGTCACATGGAAAAACTGAAGTATTCAGAGCCCCCTGAATGGAGGCTACTGCTCTCCATGCCAGAATAAAAACCAAACGCACTGATCCTTGGTTCAGCACTGGAGCTGTGGGACACTGTGGCTTAGCCTGGATGGGCTGAACTCCAGAAGGATCACACTTTCAGCCATACCTTCCTTCCTGAAAATAAATGGCACCTACACCTCTTCCTTCTGCGAGTGGTGACCTGCCAGCAATCACGTAAAATGCACTCAAAAGCATTCCTAGGGGAAGGATCAGTCAAGACCTGCCTGATTGTCACAGAGCCAGTGCTGTGCTGGAAATCCCCTCTTTCAAGGCAGAAGTCAAATTTGCTCTGTCCCTAAATTACCAGTGAACTGCAGTGGAATGTACCAGCTCCATCCTCGATGCCTGCAAGGACTATTGCTCCTGGCCCTGAGTAAAAGCTCATCTCAGTTGGATCAGCTGACCTGCTCCTATCACATACTGCCAGAGGTAAGCAAAGTGCCAGCACACAGTCCATTCCTTCTTATCTTCTCATGCTTTCCATAACAAAAGCAGGTTTCTGGTGTTATTTGCCCACGAATCCCCTGAATTTGGTCATTCATCTTTCCCAAGTCCTGCTAAAGGCTAAAGATGAGCTGGCCCAGCTCAGCAGACCAGCATTTCCTTTAGATTTAAACTTCTGCTAAAAAGAAACAAAACAAAACCCTCCTAGATTTTGAAAAATGCAGTGACCTTTAGGATGTCTTGTTTCTCAGACCTGGAAACCTCACTCTGTATTCAACATGGGGGCTCTGAATTCGAAAAAAACCCCACTTTTGAATTGAGGGGCTTTATAGCTAAGGAGAAAATCTTGGCCAAGGAAACAGAATACAATAAAAGATTGATACCAGGATGGCATGCAGCCCTAACAGTGGCAAAACTGTGGGTATATAAAGAGATTTTTAAGGTTTTTCTAATGAGCATTTTATGAGCAGTTACTGCGAGCAAGGACTCATTCCCTTGGCACAAAGACACCGTTTCCTTCCGACAGCTCAGAAGCAGCGAACTAAGCCAGGTCCAACTTTCTAGGGGTCTGGAGAAGATCAGTGGGCTGCGAGGTGACAGCAGCAAGCCCAGAGTCAGGAGATACTCCAGGGATGGGGCAGGGAGCCGATGGCTGTTAACTACTTCACTGCTAACCAAAGCACAGACCAAGCAAACGGCATAGAATCATAAAATTGTTCAGGTTGGAAAAGACCTTTAAGATCATCGAGTCCAACCATAAACTAGCATTCCCAAGTCCACCACTAAACCACGTCCCTAAGCACCACATCCACACATCTTTGAAATACCTCCAGGGATGGTGACTCAACCACTTCCCTGGGCAGCCTGTTCCAGTGCTTGACAGCCCTTTCGGTGAAGGAATTTTTCCTAATGTCCAATCTAAACCTCCCCTGCTGCAACTTGAGTCCATTTCCTCTTGTCCTATTGCTTGTTACTTCGGAAAAGAGACCAACACCCACCTCACTACAACCTCCTTTCAGGTAGCTGTAGAGAGCGATAAAGTCTCCCCTCAGCCTCCTTTTCTCCAGGCTAAACAACCCCAGCTCCCTCAGCTGCTCCTCATAAGACTTGTGCACTAGACCCTTCACCAGCTTCGTTGCCCTTCTCTGGACACACTCCAGCACCTCAACGTCTGTCTTGTAGTGAGGGGGCCAAAACTGAACACAGTATTCGAGGTGCAGCCTCACCAGTGCCGAGTACAGGGGGAGGATCACTTCCCTAGTCCTGCTGGCCACACTATTTCTGATAGAAGCCAAGATGCTATTGGCCTTCTTGGCCACCTGGGCACACTGCTGGCTGATATTCAGCCAGCTGTTGACCAACACCCCCAGGTCCTTTTCTGCTGGGCAGCCTTCCAGCCACTCTCCCCAAGCCTGTAGTGTTGCATGGGGTTGTTGTGACCCAAGTGCAGGACCCGGCACTGAGCCTTGTTGAACCTCATACAACTGGCCTGGGCCCATCGATCCACCCTCTCCAGATCCCTCTGTAGACCTTTCCTATCCTCCAGCAGATCAACACTCCTGCCCAGCTTGGTGTCATCTGCAAACTTACTGAGGGTGCACTCGATTCCCTCGTCCAGATCATTGATAAAGATATTAAACGGAACTGGCCCCAATACTGAGCCTTGGGGAACACCACTTGTGGCTGGCCACCAACTGGATTTAACTCCATTCTCCACCACTCTTTGGGCCTGCCCATCCAGCCTGTTTTTTACCCAGTGAAGAGTACGCCCATCCAAGCCATGAGCAGCCAGTTTCTTCAGGAGAATGCTGTGGGAAACGGTGTCAAAGGCTTTACTAAAGCTGTTGCCTAGGTAGACAACATCCACAGCCTTCCCCTCATCCACTAAGCAGATCGCCTTGTCATAGAAGGACATCAGGTTGGTCAAGCAGGACCTGCCTTTCACAAACCCATGCTGACTGGGTCTGATCACCGGGTTGTCCTGTACGTGCCATGCGATGGCACTCAGGATGATCTGCTCCATAGCCTTCCCCAGCACCGAGGTCAGGCTGACAGGCCTGCAGCTCCCCGGATCCTCCTTCCAGCCCTTCTTGCAGATGGGTGTCACATTTGCTAACCTCCAGTCAACCGGGACCTCCCTGGTTAGTCAGGACTGCTGATAAATGATGGAGAGTGGATCAGTGAGCTCTTCTGCCAGCTCCCTCAGTACCCTTGGGTGGATGCCATCCAGCCCCAGAGACCTGTGTGTGTGTCTAAGCGGTGTAGCAGGTCACTAACCAATTCCCCTTGGATTATGGGGGCTTCATTCTGCTCCCCGTCCCTGTTTTCCAGCTCAGGGGGCTGGGTACCTTGAGAACAACTGGTCAACCCATGGCTACTGGGCCTCATCACCTGGCATGGCTGGTATGAGAAGATGTGTATAAGGTCCCATCAGTGGCAGCTCATTTTGGTCTTAAGTGAACAAGCCACTGGAGGTGAAGGATCCATTCACTAGCTTTAACTCTGGGCTACCCTGTGCTCTCCACAGGGAGACTGGGCATGAATGAACCTGGCTGTCAGGTCCAAGAAAATCTGAGCAAATAGTTCATTCAGGCAGCTTGAAACCAGGACTGGTGTTATCTCACAGCAGGACTAGACGACTTCACATGGGCGGATGCACCAGCCAGGCACTCCTTCAGGTCTAAGCAGCCACCAGGACTCCCAGCCTCCAGCCTTGCGGGCATCTCTGTCTCGTGGCAGTGCCAAAGATGGCCATGTAGGGGGCAGGAGGGCAGACAGAGCTGACCCCCAGCTGCCAGCTCAGTGTCACAGCAAGGCTGCCTAGCCAGGGCGCATTTAGGATGCAGAGGTCAGCAAGTACCACAGAGATGGGCCAGGAACACCAGGCGGTACTCCTCCTGCTGCCGGCAACGACTGCTGCCACTGGCAAATCTTGCGTACGCCTCCACTCGATGCTGTGAGATGATGAACTCTGCCTCTGCCCTATTGCACTGAGCTCCTGGGTGCTGCTGCGAGTAACCTGCACAAAAAGGGAAGTGCAGAATGTCCTGCAGTTGTCTTCAGGTGGTTTACACCCACCCTAACCTCACTTTGCACTGGCACAAATAACACAGTGCATGGTGCATCCAGGAACTGGCCCCATTCTGTTTTGTCACGTAGGCAGGGTAAGATTTCTGGTGCCCTCAATTTTTTTGTTTAGTTTTAATTTTATTTCCTTGCTTTTGTGCATTAACATTCTGTTTCAGATGCTGGGGAGAAGTACACTGTCATTCAGGCATCTATCTAACTTCCCAAGTAATGTCTTTTGTGTCAGGCAGATACAGAGAATCGCGGTAGAAGTAGGGTTTTACTAGTCCTTGTTTGAGATGTTAATATTAACAGCAAGGCTACTTTGCTGGCAAGAAAAGGAATATGATAGCTCAAATGCTTCTTACTGTTGATGGTTTCTGAGGACAGTGTCACCTGCTACAGGTGACATCTGGAAGTGAGCAGTGCTAGCAGAGAGGAATGGCACAGATAGGACAGGCACTGATCACTGAATTGCTGTACCTCCTGCCTTACGTGTGCATGGCTGATCTCAGTGGAGAAATATTTGTATTAAAGGATTTACTAGAATCCCACAAGTTGATAGAACAAGGATAAACACAGGTAAAATGCTCTGTACTTCAAAGACACTCATCAAAGGAATGTGTAAACCAATGTAGGGGGCATTCTGTTTGCAATCTGCACCAATGCTTAAGTGTCTAAACCAAGCTGTGCTGCAATAAGGTTTCTCTAACCTGGAAGAGAAATTGAGGATTCTACAGACAAGCTGTGAACCAAACACACAATCTCAGTTTTACTAGTGAAAAACCCACAGAAATGGTGCATTTGGAAGTTGGGATGCAGCAGGCAGAGCAGCTGAACTGCACTCTTGGCTCCCAGGCTGGAACCATGTCGTAGAGAAATCCCAGTGCCAGGAAAAAAGGGACTGATGTCAGGTGAACTCCTAGTGTGCAAGTTTCACTGTATAATTTTATAATAAAAAATGGTTTCATCTTTTGGTGCAATAAATGCTAGGAAGATCTATTGTCCACTTCAGCTGTAAAGGTAACACTAATTTGCCAAGCTTAAGGAATCAGTTTTGGTTTTAGAGCAGTGAAAGCTTGTAACTTGGTGCAGACAGACCACACAATAGGAAACCTCATTTCATTCAGCCACACCAGAGGAATTTCCACTGTGCCTGTAGCCCCTGGCAGCACGTCCCTGCCACAGCTCCCGCAGGGATGGAGGAGCTGCTACACCTCCGCAGACTGTTCAAAGAAACAGGCTAAGTTACATCTAAATGTGCAGCCAGCCCAGGGCATAAATACACAGAAAATGACATAGATTGTTACTTTGTGCCTAATAGTATTGCTGAATACATTGCTGAATA